CCATGGGCACCCAGCACTTTGAGGAGAGCATGGTAAGCAGCTCCAGACGTCACCCGGAGACCAGGAAAAGCGGCTCTGCTGGATCTGCAGGCAGAAGACCAGTGGCACGCTTTGGGCAGGTAAAAGCAGGCTAAATTAATGGCTGGCTGGTGACAAGGAGGGAGGAAGCCGCTGCAGACTATTATTTGGGTGCTTGGCTGTGGTGGAGGAGGTGAGGAGGCTAGGAACTAGGCTGGACTCTGGTTAAGGGAAACTGCCCTTGTTTTTCTCGGCAAGGGTTACTGTTTATTCTTGTGTTTCTCTGGGAGATTCTCAGCTGATGGGGAAGGAAAGGCTGGGCTGGCCAGGCTGGAAGGACTGATGGATGAACACTGCATGGGGTGGGGTCAAAGTGCGCAGGACCAGGCCCTTGGACAGGGCAGAAGACACCCACGTGCCTCTGTCACCAGAGCACGGAGCTGGTGCCGGACGAGTCTGAAAGAAGCCGGGCGCAGAAGTGTGAGGCATTCAGCTGAGCGCCCAGATTCTCCCAGGATCTAGGAGCACGTGATTTGGGAGAAGGTGCCCACTGGGGCTTGAAGACAGTGGTGAAAGATGGTAAAGGCCTGGAGGAAGAGTCAAGGGGAGCAGGGAATCCGTGTCAAGTAGCCGGGTGTGGTGGCAGTCGCCTATAATCCCAGCACTCTGGGAGGCTGAGACAGGAGGATCACAAGTTCCAGCACAGCTTTGGCAATTTAGCAACCTAGCAAGATCCTATCTGCAAAAGAGCGTTTAAAGAAAGGGGCATCAATTGCTACAGATGACCACCCTGTGTCCGTAAGAGGCCACAGACTTGTGGAAGCCCCACTATGCAAGGCCGGGGAACTTCCTCTGGCAGGGCTCCTTGCAGCGTGGGAGAGCGAGTGGTAAGGAGTTTGAATTGTTTTTTTGAGCCCAGGATGAGGAGAAGGGTCTCGCTGTGTTTCCCAGGCTGCCCTCGAGCCTCCGAACCTCCTGCCTTGGCCTCCTTGTAGGATTCCAGGCAGTGGCCAGCTCACCAGCCTTTACTTTGGATCTTAAATGTCCCCCAAGGACATGTGGGCTTGGTCTCCAGCCCGAGGTGCTACTGGGAATAGTGAAACCTTCAGCAGGCTGCGTGTCCGAAAGAAGTTAGGTGGTTGGTTGGAGGTGTCCCCTCGAAGGGAAGATTAGGACCCCAGCTGCTTCCTGTCTTAGTCTTCACTTCCTGGCTGCCCTGAGAGGAGCAGGCCTTTCTCCCCCTCTGTGTTCCCCTAACAAGGGAACCTGCTCCAGAGGCAACAGGGCCAAGTAACCACGGCCTGACCTCTGAAGCCAGGCTCCTCCAGAGAGGGTTCTCTCGGTTATTTGCTATACCCGGGGACAGCTGCCTCCCATGCACGGGTTCAGGGGCTTTCAGAGCATGAGTGGTGTTGACAGCAGTCAAGAGGGAGATTCCGGCTGGAGCAGGAAGCAGATGAGTGAGGAAAGGGCAAACCGATGCACAGGAGGGGTAAGAACAGAGTAGAGGTACCTGGGGCTCAGAGTGAGCCAGCCGGGAGAGGCCAAGGTTATGGGTGAGAATGTGCATTTGTTTCCTGGGGAGGCAGTGGAAGGCACGGTTCCAACCAGAAAAGGAGCTAAGTGCCGCGGAGCAGGGAACTCCCGATAGAAGGAGGACAGTAGTTTGCTTGAGGAAGCAATTAGTTCATTGCTTCATTTCCAAAGGCAAAATAAAATAAAATAGAACTTAGGAAACCACTTGTGATTTTGACAATAATGGGCTTATAAAAGTATTTCGGTCTGGGCGTGATGTCGCACAGCTGTGATCCCAGCACTTGGAAGGCTGGGGGCAGAAGGATCGTCAGGAGTTTAAGGGCAGCCTGGGTCACGCAGCAAGACCCTGTCTCAACACACAAAAAATTGTTGGGAAGTAGAATAGTGAGCGCTGGATCCTTTGAATTCATGTAGCCTGGACATTGGGCTAGTGCACTCGTCCATGTGCGGGGTGGCAGCGCGGGGAGCTGGAGGTGCAGCTGCTTCAGGAGTGGCAGGGGACAAGCAGGGCTGCCCAAGTAACGTGCTTAGGATGGTGGCTGATGCGTAGTAGAATTCAACATAAGTGAGCCACCATGGTCAGGATCAGCCAGGACCTTAAAAGCAGGCAGGGCGAAAGGCCCTCCTCCGCTTCTGCAGGGGCCAGCGGGACCTGTTGACAGAGCAAATCAATGCAACAGAGGGTAAACTACAAGTCGGCTTCACAGTGAGTAGATCTGCAAAATGTCAGGGCAAAAATGAGAAACATAGTTGTGGGTGTACAAGACAAAGGAACATCCAGGTGTGGTGGTGCACACCTGTAATCCCAGCACACTGGGAGGCTGAGGCAGAAAGATTGCAAGTTGAAGCCCAGCCTGGGCAACTCAGTGACTTGCTGAGTTCCTGCCTCAAAATAAAAGTTAAAAGAAGGCTGGGGATATAGCGCAGTGCAAAGGCCCTTGATTCAGTCCCCAGTACTGGGGAAAAAGAAAAAGTACAGGGCAGGACCTTCCTTATTCTTTTTTTCTCCTCCAGTACTTGGCAAGAGAAAAAGCAGGGCTTTCCCTCCCCTTGCGGCTCCCTGCACCACCCCATCCCCCACTGATCTGTGAGGCCCCTATGCCCTGGGCTGCAGGGTGTAACTCGTAACTCTGGTCTCTCACCTATCCAGGAAAGATTTTCTTTGGCGCTAAGAATCCTCCCTTTTCACTTTTGCTGCAGGAGTCACAGGAGAGAGGTAGGAGGACCCGGGGAAGGGAGAATACCCTGCAGGGATTTCCCCTGTTGTTCCTAGGAAGCTGCTATCATTTTCTTCCAGTCAAGTGTTTCCAGGCCCACGTAAAGGGGTTTGGAACTTTAGAGAAAGTCCTTATCTCTTCCCCACTGCTTCCCACCTTCTGTTCCTCAGGGGCTTTCTCCTCTCTTAAGTTTTAACTTGAATGCAATGCTGTAGAAACCACATCCCCTTCTTCTCTTTTTTCTGCCTGTAAACCTAGCAAGCTGGGAGGCTGAGGCAGAAGGATTGCAAGTTGGAGCCCACCCTGAGGCTTTGGGGGACATTTTAGATCTAAACCATAACAGACCTGCTTCACTATACCTACTGTTGCTCCAGCTGAGTAGGCCCTCCTGCAGCTCAGAAAGCAATTTCTAAGCCAAATAATAGAAAAGTAATAGTCACTGGGAAGGACTTTTTTTTGAGGTAGGGTCTCAGTATGTAGTTCACACTGGCCTTGAACTCACAGTGATCCTCCTGCCTCAGCCTCCCAAGTGTTGGGATTACAGATGTGTGCCACCACATCTGGTCAAGGGTTATCCATGTTCCAGTGTGTGCCAGAATTTCATCCCTTTTAAAACTGTTTTGAAGCAGGAAGATAACCTTGAGTTTGAGGCCAGCCTGAACTACATAGAGAGACCCTGTCTCAAAAAAAAAAAAAAAAAAAAAAAGATTAAAGTGTTTTTTCAACCTCTCAGGACAACTCTATCATTTGTACTGAGGATCTTAAAATAACAGGATTGTTGGCAGAAGAGCAAGTCTCTCCAGTTCTCTGTACTCACTCACTGCAAAATGGTCCTGAGTTCTGCAAAGCCATTTAAACAGTGGGGTCCTGGCCCCAGGAGGGCCAGGCACGCGGGTAGTGAAGCCAGCCGGAGACACTTGCGAAGTTGCTTGACGCTATTCAGTCCCAACCCTCTGTTTCCAATACCAGCCATAGGCCCAGTACTGCACACCGCAGAACAACCCTCATGTGCGGGCCTGTGATGCCAGGCCATACAGAATCTATCTGCAGACTAGATCTGGCCCAGGGGCTCCAGTTGGCAGTCTCTACTAGGATAAATAAAGTGCTATTTAAGTTTGGCTTTTCTTCATTCCTTCATGCAATAAACGTTTCCTGGGTCCCTGCAGGGTAGGTCACACATGTAAGTAAATCTTATGGTTTTAAAAAGTTCCTGTTTGAACTCTCTAGTGGTGACCCACACCCGGATCTCAGCACCCTGGGCATCTGAGGCAGTTGGATGGCAAGTTGGAACCCAGCCTGGGTAACTTAATGATGTACTGAGACCCTGTCTCAGAATAAAACAGTGTTTATGCTGGGTGTGGCGGCACATGCCTGTAATCCCAACAACTGGGAGGCTGAGGCAGGAGGATCCCTGTGAGTTCGAGACCAGCTTGGGCTACATAGTGAGTTAAACTCACAAGGCCAGGGTGAACTGCAGAGTGAGACCTCGTCTCAAAGAAAAGAAAAGACGCCCCCCTGCCCTGGCCCTCAAAAAAACAACAACAGTTTTAAAGGGCTGGAGACGTGGCTCAGTGAGAAGGCCCCAGGTTTGGTTCCCAGTATCAGAGGGGAAAGCAGTTATTTAAGCAAGCCGCATTACTTCTCTATTGTACATTTGAAAAGGGCTGCCCCGAGAAGCAGCAACTCGCTAGGGGTCACACAGCTGGGACCGCCCAGGTGTGTTGAACTCCGGGTGCTTCACAGTCCGAGTCTGCTCCCACAGGAGGAGGACGCAGGCTAGAGTCGAGGTCCAGCCTAGAATGAGAGTTTAGCCCGTGGAGCCGGGAGCACTCCCTCGGGTCCCCCTGGAGGGCCGGCTCCAGCCCGCTGGCGGGAGCGCAGGGAAGCAGGGGAGTCGCGGGAGTCCGGGACCAAACCCGGAGACCCCGGGGGGCGGTGACCAGGTCTCCAAGGCCGTGCAGTCCACAGACTGCCTCACCGATCGCAGGACTATTAACTACGAGAGTGAGAACTGTGTGGCGAGAAGGGGCTCACAGCTGCCTCAACAGCTCAGGCAGGCAGGAGCGAGCGACACCGCGGCACTTTTTCCTACAGGACACACCCGCCCCGCCCCGCCGCTCCGGGACCCGCGGGAACTACAGCTCCCGGCGTGCCTCGGGGCGCGAGACCCCGCCCCTGAAGACCCCGCCCCTCAAGGCCCCGCCCCTCAAGGCCCCGCCCCTCCCGCCGGGTCAGCCGCACAGAGTCGCCCGGTGGCCGCGGCAGACGGAAGCGGAGCGCGAGTCCGGGCGGCGGCGGCAGGATGGGGGACTCCAAAGTAAAAGTGGCGGTGCGGGTCCGGCCCATGAACCGACGAGGTGAGAGTCCGGCCGCCGCGCCGCCGGGGGGGAGGCGGCAGGTGTCCGGCGCGCGTCGTCCGC